GTAAAAGTTAAGTCAAATCTGTATGGAGTTGAAACAGCGCCCCTAGCGGCAAACGAAAGGAACATCTTAAATTTTACTCTCAACGCGCCTAAAGAAGTTTTACTGGAAAAAAACCTCAAAGATAAAGATAAAGAAGGCTTTATTAACAATCTTAATTCATATTTAGGTACATACTATTAATGTAATTTTTCTAAGCATTTGACATCGGCAAAGATTGTTTTGCTTTTGCATATGCCTTGGAATAAATCTTAACACATGTTTAATTCTGCTGATTCTGCAATTTGGATCGCGTTATCACGTCGCCATAGCTCTAGTCAGGGCAGCGGTACCAATTCGCGCAGACAGAAAACTCTTGACTATGCATTTCAAGATATAAGGAGGAAGGAAGGCCCTTGAACTTTTTAAGGGTGCACGTGTTTAACGTCAAACTTGTCGAAATTATTGACGATTGACTTAAAGCAAACACGAAGCCAATACGCAAAAAATATAGTATTTAGAAGCTACAATGAATAAAATTCATATAACGAGGTTTGTTGTCTCGCAGTGTTGTTTGGGGTGACCTTGGACCCGGTATATCTGACGTACATAAATTATATAGCATTATAGTTATTATTAAGATAATAAAAAGGTGACTTTATCACTGAACTTTAATAACCAAGGAAGCTAAAAAAACTATATTATGTAGCTTCTTATTTTAACCCTTTACGGTTCTAAGACTAATGTAATGTAAGACTATAATAATATGTCCAATACGTGTGAACACTGGACCTTAAAGGGGTAAGTATTTCAACAACGCCTCTTTGAATAACAAAATTAAAGCCGTCTTTTTTCTTTTGAGATTAATTTTATCGGATTTAACGAAAACTCCCTCTGCCGATCATCTCTGACATCCAGATTAGTGCAAGCGACAAATTAACGTTTGAAGTCGTGAGATCAACTACACATTTTTTCAGCTAAGAGAACTACATTGATTCTACACAACAGTCTCATACATTATTTTTAAAAAAAAAACTTTTTGCACAACCAGGACTCTCTGGGTTTCTTAGTTTTTTACTCACAAGCGGCTTTGAAGATTTATCTCAAACATAAGCCAGCTAGCTGGTCTGAATTGAAAAACAAAGTTACTTAATGATTAACCAACGTTCTCACTCGATGCAACATGACAGAGCTACCGGCTCCCAAACGAATCTATGCAATGCTAATATGTACTTAATTTTCCCAAGCCCAGAGAATATTATGTGTGCAAAGATATTTATGATCATATTTCCATATTTGTGTTTGTAACAAGTCAATCGTCACATCGATCCAAAGAGTAAATTTTTTTTAGTACACGGTAGCTGGCGGCAGATTAGCTATGTTTATCTGTCGAAAAAAATTTGGGATATGCTTATTTTAAACTTTTGTAGTTGATACAGCCAAAATTATTTTTTGTAGATGTTGCATGTTTAGTGTTGTGTTTCGAAATGTTTTTTTTTTATTTCGTTCTTAATAATACACAGCACACTACTATATCTATGTTCGTATCTATGCGAATATTTCTGTCTATATTTTTAAAGCAAACTTGAATATTATTGTATCATATACCAAGGATATCTAGTTTTGTGTTAACTTTTAACTTAATTTTACTCAATTACCTTTCTTTACAATGAACCATTTATAGCCATGGCATTCCATTCACAATGATTATTTATAAAACGACGTCACATCCTCATTTCATCCGAAAAAGAAAAACAAGTCGGCCATCTTAAAACGTCAAATATAAAACTTGGATTCCATGTAACGCGTAGGTACATAACGATCCTAGAAGGATTTAAAAATAAAAACGATCGACTACCTACGGGGAAACGAGTTTTTCGAAACTGGTACCGGCCGCTCTAGCTATGCATCCGTGGCATTACGTAACTAACCACCTTTGCCCATTTCGTCAGTTTAAAAAGTTACATTGCATTTTGGCGGGAACTGAACGTGTTGTTTTTGGGACAATTTTGAATAAAATTGTTTTTAATTTTGATCGCGTGCAGTGCAGTACTTTTAGTCAATTACAGGAAAATTTAAGTTAAAATGTGTACATAAATGTGTTTATCGTATATTCTTGCGTTAATTACACAAAATGACTTTGGCATTGTAATAGTTATAATAATATAAACCAATTAACCATTTTGTAAATGACAAAAAAAAACAACTTTAGAAGTGCATCTAGAAGTTAACAGGAAGAATTTTTAATCAGAGACCGGAAACAGTGATAATTCTCCTCAAAATAATACTGAATTCATAATCTGTTCTTTTGATACTTATAACGTATTGGGTATGAGTGTAATAAATGTAGGGCCAGGTTTAATTTTTGTAACTGTTTTTGTTGCTCAGAGAAATCTCCGTAGTAGAAAAAGTTAAGGAAACTACCATTATAAAACTAGTGGTAGTAAAGTGTTCGAAGAGTTATTGCAGTAACTTAAGGAAATTGCACGCACGGTTATTCTGAATAGTTCATTAAAAAAGCAAAAACTTCACGTATGTACGTACCGTAATAATAAACTTTTAAAGCTGTGTAATATTGATATTATTGGAATTGGATGTCGCTTGCCATTAAGACGGCGTAAGGTAATCATAAAAAATTCACAAAAAAAAAATTTCCTATCTAAGCTTATGGCCCTGGGAGACCATTTCAGCGTAACCCTAACAAGTAGGTGAGCCTACGGGGCTCAAATTTGACGACGTTGCTAACACTAACCCTAGCAAGAGCAGTGCTTCGCAGAATCTATCACCGGCTTGGAAAAGCGACCCACTGAGAAGATCCAGCGAGAAACTCAGCGGGCTTCGTGTGTGAGTTAATTTACTCGCCAAGCCTTTCGTCGAAAAACAGACGCGAATTTAATCTTGATAAAAAAAACTTTAAAAATATTGCACATGCCCGGTTATGAATGCCATGACAGTGTACCAAAAGGGAGCGGTTCGCCACGCCATCTACACGCGAATCTTTAATTTCCCCGGACACGCAACTCCCCAGTTCAATTTCATTATGGTGAGTTAGAAAATGTAATATTAATCAAGTGAGTTTTTTTTATCTATCGAAATATAGTTACGGGAACCGATAGTTATTTCTCTTTGTTGCCAGTGTGCTTAGTGCGAGTTTTTTTAACGTTCTCGATAGCGTAAAAGTTAACTCAAATTTGTATGCAGTTGGAACAGCGCCCCTAGCGGCAAACGTAGGCAAACGTTCCAATTCCATAAAAAATTGAGTTAACTTTTACGCTATCGAGAACGTTAAAAAGCACGATGTAGAAATCAAAAGGTTTTTTACTGGCGTCGTTAAGTATTTTAGTATGTTTTATTTCAATAGAATCGAACACGAGCTCACCACCTCTTTGATGGTAAGTGGTCACCGAAGTCGATAGGTTATGAAACGCGAATTCAACCATCCACTTGAGATATGATTTCGTGGTCGTGGTAGGTTCCTATTTCTGTAGGTAGTAATGTGTTTCGGTTTGAAGGGCGGGGCAGCCGTTGTACTGTTAAAACCTGAGACCTAAGAACTCATATCTCAAGGCATCTCATATCTCGGCATTTACATTGTAGATGTCTATGGGCTCCGGTAACCACTTAGCACCAGGTGGGCCGTGAACTCGACCAACCACATAAGCAAAAAAAAAAGCATAACACTGACATGACAATAGTTTACCAATAATGCTAATTATTTAATGGCCCTTGAAAATAGACATGCATATTAGATATTCACCTTGACATATCACCATGGAGAATAGGGTTTTATCTGTGGTTTTATGGTTGAGTGAAGATTTTGTGTTTTTTTTGGGTCCACGCGTTCGTTAAATGTCGTTGAATTGAAACCTTACAGCAATTTATTCGAAGAAAGATTCTGACATAGCAGCGCCCACGTACCAAGTACCTAATGTCGCTTTTATTAGCCAGATAAATCTTACGTGACTCGTCTCTATTAACTAATTATCTCTCTCTCAACCTATTTACGAAAACGAACATTAATCCCATCCAAAGTTATTTGAATAAATACTTGTACATTTCATTTTAAATGCTATTGAAAACCTTCGTTTTCTCCGTGTCCAAATTATCAATATAATAGTCCATAACTGAAAACTAAATTGAAATTGAGTGTTATTGAGAGCACTAAGGTGGACAACCACACAAGCGATAAGTCTATTTTCAATAAAAGATATTATATGCTGTATTATACAGTTGAACAATGAACTCAAATTTTACATGGTGTTAATTTTTATGTTATAACATCTAAAGCGTTTCAAACAGTTAAAATTTCGAAGCTGTCATTCACGAAATTACCTTAAAGTTTAACAATCCTATCACAGACATCTTGAAAGACAAATTAATGAAAAAACTACCCTCCAAAAAAACACAGGTAGGTAGACGGCCCGTTGACCACCTGTCTCCGAAATAAAACACGACCGCTTTGACTATTGACTGCACTGGCCTTTTATTTCCTTAATGGTGTTGCTTAAACAGCCATCGATATCAGAGCAGAAGCTTGATACGTGAGATCGACATGTCAATAGACCACAGTTATTTTAGCTTACAAATCCAAGGCATAATTTTAACAAACCAAAACGATTCAAGTATCAACGTAATGTTATATTTGATTCAAATCAACACAAAGAACTAATGACAGTGACTCATTAGACCTCACAGAGGCGCTCCGATTTTAAATAAAATTTAAATACTCTATAATACTTTCATACTGATACCCAGACAATATTTGCCATGTAAATTTTAATTATTAGGTAGTACAATATTTTGCCGTACACTGTACATCATCACGTCACGAATATCGCAGCCGACCCACTTTGAAACCATGTAGGAGTCTTTATGCCAACATTAACGACAATCCTTCTATTTTGTACAAATAAACACTAAGATTGGTGGAGTATGCGTAATTTTATTACCTACACAAGTTGCTATTCGCATGCTTTAACTTTTAAAAAAAATACAAAAGATAATAAATTTATCTGATAGATTACCTGCCTCGATTCTGATATCCAACGGCAATTCACTTTTACTCCTCAAAAATAGTTTTTGTTACACGAATGTCGGTAGTTTCATGTATTTTTTCTCTTTTTTTTTGGTTACGGTCGAACGCGGTACCACAATCGCCCACGCCACACCTCACTTTCAAACCGGTTTTCCCGAGGATCGCGTAAAAGTACGAACGCGCGCGAGTCAAATACAACCTATCACCATAAACGCTAGCGTCAAACTAGTTCGCGTTCAAAAAAAGTTACCCGGTGTTGCTGAGTTTTGATTATGAGATAGATAATGTTTTTTCTTAGAAAATGTTGGGTTTTTGTGTTTTGTTTGATCGGACTGGTGAGTAAAGTTTTAGTGCGCGTCACAATATAGACATAATGAGGTTTCATACATATTAGATCGTTATCGAACAACCCTTCAAATAATATTTTTAAATTCTAAATTATGAAGATTTTTTTTTAACAGTAGTTAACTTTCTATATTTATATCTATAACGACGTAGGATCTAATCTAGTGCGATGGTTTAATTCTAATTATTCTTTAGTTTTCCAACAAAACAACATATATCTCGATGCGGGCGGGCATACGTTTTTTTTCTATCAAGACCAAGAAAAAGTTCTAGAAATGAAGCGGGTTCTCCAATTTATTGAAAAATATGTTCAGTTTATTAAAAAAAGTAATTTTTGCTGTCCGTTTTCAAATTTAATAGTTAATTAATAGTTCTTATGGTGTCACGTTTAATAGCCAGTAGAGTCGTTGTGCGCAATACCATTGGTAATGTATGTGTAAAATGTAACTGCTCACCATCAAGTGAGCTGTTTGATCATATGGCTGAAAAAAAATAAGCGGCTAACTATTGAATTAATTAGTTTAGACACTGAGTCGCTGGTATATATCATCAGGCCACGATTAAACACAAGCGTCTCTATCATTCATTATGTTTTTAAAATATAAAACACAGTCCACTGTTGAAGAAAATCTCAAAGCAGTCCACGTTAAATAAAATCTACAAATTTCCCAAATTAAATATAAATGGCAACTCCAAAGCGCAACAGCTTTCATCGTCCGTTCGGTTTCCGTCGGCAAGACTCGGCCGTGCTCGTGTTGAACGACGTTTCGCTCGAAAGATTCAAAAAGTGTTCTATGACGCCGCAACTGGACAATACGTTATTTCACTATTTCCCATTTCTTTATTACATTCGTGAGTAACGCTAAGTCTAAGAGTGGGCAATGCTCATGACATCAACAGGCTCACGTGGGTCAGTAGATGTTACCGCCTTTCTATTTTTGCTATAAACAATGCGTGATTGAAGGTTATAACGGTGTTACTCTATTAACTTCCGACTGGATATTCTAATCTTAGAATAAATTGGACGTGACTTTTGAAGAATCAGGTAGACCTTGAACGTAAGGATCTCATATAAACTTTAATGTACGTAATAGTTTTGTGAGACCACAGAATTAGACACCGGAATAAATTAAAAACATAAAAGCTCATTTCTGTTTTGTAGGTGAAGAAAATCTGCTGCTAGTATTGTCGATGTCCAGTTAGTCTGCGGGAAACTAAAATCCATTAGGTACTAATAGGTGTTCTTATAACGATTAATATTGAAATAGTGTGTTTTCTCCATTACTAGTAGGTGTAGATTTTGATCGAAAGCTCTTTAACACATTAAATGCCATGTAGGTCACTGGTGCCTTACGCGGCGCACTCAAGTAATTAATCGATTTCGATTACCAAGGTGCCGAAATATCTAGTAGATACTGGGAAAGACGAATCCAAACATACTGAGTATGAATCTATTTCAAACAGACCTAAAATATTAAAACATAGGTACATACAGAAATCGACATAATTACTGCAGTGCGCCACGTAGGGTACCGGTGACCTACATGGCAGTCGAAGGGTTAAAAGGACAGACAAAAGTAAAATTTTAACAAATTAACTCATTACCTAATTATCCATTAAATTTACTATAAACCCCCTTTTTTATTGCGTAGATGGGTGGACGAGCTCACAGCCCACCTGGTGTTAAGTGGTTACTGGAGTAGACTTTGATTTACGAACAAGCGATTCCGTGGTCGAGTCGCGTGTGATACTTCCGACTCAGGTCACGGAGTAAGCTATAAATTGATTCGTAAGCTTTCGTGAAAGTAAACTTACTGTATCAACGCTAATTGTACAAATGGGAGCGCTCTGTTCACAGCATCGTCATAACTGAACGGTCTTATGCAATGAACGTCTAAGAATTTTATCATATCGAGGAGAAAAAAGCAATTTAGTTTAAGCGACATTTTTGCAACTTTACAGGACTTTTGCAAATGCACAGATTACTGGTAGTAAGACCTCTGGTGAGTCCGCACGGGTAGGACCACCACCTCGTCTATTTCTGCCGTGAAGCAGCTAAGCGTTTCAGACTGAAGGGTTGCCGTTGTAACTATACTGAGACCTTAGAACTCATATCTCAAGGTGAGTGACGGCGTTTACGTTATTGATGCCTATGGGCTCCGGTAACCACTTAACACTAAGTGCACTGTGAGCTCATCCACCCACCTATGCAATAAAAAATAAAAATAAAAAGCCATTTAAAGTTTTAAATTTGGAAAAAATAACATAACAAAAAAACTTCTTCAGTTTTTTTGAATAGGGTAAACTTAATTGAAGTTCAATTAAAAAAATTAGAATTGTTGATGCTAATACCAAATAAAATGGACCTTTAATTACAAAAATAAATGTCGCGTGTTAAGCGAAATGTCGCTTAAACCAAATAGCCTTTCAGCCCTTGATGTTTAGTTTTATTCCTCAAGATTACATATTCGACGCCTCCAAACGAAGGTTAGCTCCTTTATGAGTAGGTACCGGAAAGACACTATGAGACAGGCGGACAGTATAATAGATACTTCGACCTCATGTTACAAAGTGGGTCACGTTGTGACTTCTCTGGGCTCGGACGACCACATTAAACTAGGTGGGCCGCGAGTTGATTTACCCATCTACGCAAATACGGGAGGTAATGCAGTAGAAGATGGAATCCGAAACCAATACCCATTATATATGAGGGTCATGCATCACCAGACTAAAGAGGTGATCAACTTTTTTTTTATTGCTTAGATGGGTGGACGAACTCACAGCCCACCTGGTGTTAAGTGGTTACTGAAGCCCATAGACATCCACAACGTAAATGAGATATAAGTTCTAAGGTCTCAAGTATAGTTACAACGGCTGCCTCACCCTTCAAACCGAAACGCATTACTGCTGCACGGCAGAAATAGGCAGCGCGGTGGTATCTACCCGCGCGGACTCACAAGAGGTACTACCACCAGTAATTACGCAAATTATAATTTTGCGGGTTTCATTTTTATTACACGATGTTATTCCTTCACCGTGGAAATCAATCGTGAACATTTGTTGAGTACGTATTTTATTAGAAATATTGGTACCCGCCTGCGGGATTCGAACACCGGTGCATCGCTCAACACGAATGCACCGGACGTCTTAACCGTTAGGCCACGACGACATTTTGATTCAGGCCTTGTCACCGAAAGATATAAAGGATTTTGAAACCGGACTTGATAATGTAGAAGGCAGTATGACGATACTGAATACCATGACACTAAAAAAATCGCTAATGTTTACATCGCCACAACATCCATTAGTGGTCACTGTATCTCTTGGAAATTTTGCAAAATCGGTTGGCTCCCTCCTGCATTGTTCGAGTGTCGAATCGTTGGAGAACAATAGTTCGTGGTAGCAAAGGCGCTGAAGTTCGCTGTTCACTGAACACAGGAATTTGAAATGTTCAGACAGGGACCGTAAATATCTCTCAAACTGTAAGTTAAATACGAGTCAATCTCCATTCAGTAAAAATGTATGATGTTTTACAACCAATAAACTGATAATGCACAGTTTTAAGGAAAAATAGAGCCGACCTCAACGACATAAAGTGAGAATATGATAATATAGTCAAGGTCAAATAAATATGTGTTGTAATCACTCAACTCACTAACTTAAAAAGTACCGATCAGTTCTTGGTAAATTTTTAAATGGAACTACACGGGAAAAACCAGCTTTCAAATAAAAGATGATGATCCAAATCAGACAAACCGCCGACGAATCTCCTCCTTTCTTTGAAATCTGTTAAAAAAACAATACCAGTTTTTAAGAGCAGTTCGAAAAAAGAAATTGCTTATTGTGTTGATCGGCTTTTTAAGCTTTCCTCGGCAAGATGCGAAATACTCAGTCAATATATCTACTAGAATTGTTTGTTTAAAATTTGTGCTGTGTTTTTATGTACCACAAATACTAATAAAAAGAACGTGACCGTTTTTTTGAATACCCTCATTTTAAACACGGATCGTCAAGAACCATTGCTAGCTAGTCTTTTTTTCAGATCTACCTTCAGAATTACATTGAAATATTAAAAGCTTCCTCAATTCTGACCGAATGTACCTAAAACTTACTTTGCTATTAATCATTTTGAATAAAAAGGCTCAGTAATGACGAAGTTCTGGGCTGATAAACATTTAACAATAAAAGGAAATCCAAACCCTCCTTCTTTACTGGAAGTCCATTAAAATTACAAGAGCAGAAATCCTAATTCAACTGGATACATAACGATGAACCGAAATAACATTAGAACCGTTCATCAATAGTTTCAGCTACTTTTTAATTACAATTGCGTGTCGCGCTTCTCTTTAACCAATTAAAATACATCAATGAACTAGTTCAGACGACCGTTGCTTTCGAATAGACGCCAAACAAACTATCTGTATTCGGGGCCTTGATGAGTCCCTGCAACACGCAGCAACTTACACCGTTTTGACCACGGAATGGATAATTAAGGTACCTTAACTATCTATTCCGTGGTTTTGTCTCTACTTCAGGCCACGTCTCGTGACGAGAACATATTTGGGTAGTGTTTAAAAGGATTTGCTCCCGGACGAGTCGGGCGGTGGTACCGTTGGCGATTGACATAATCATAACACTAAAATAATGTCAATCTCTATATTCCATTATTGAATTTTAGCAACAAAAAAAACCTAAAAAACGATTTAGTGGCCTTTGCGTGCTGCATGAAGGAATTGTTTTATTTATTTATTTAGAGTGATCGTTCTTGTCCCGTAGGCGTCCACAGTCTCACCAGGATGAGGTTGAGTTCAAGAACTCTGCTGGGAGGGGAAAGGTTTGCTAACTTGGTAGGATGAATGGCAGATGC